AGCGAGTAGAGGGGACAAAGGAATTCCGAGGTTTCCTGTGATCTCTCACAGTCCCTCCGAGATTGGGTGGTCCGGTCTCTTTTTCAGGGGAATTTCACCACTGGCTTCTTGTAATATCGCCTTTGTTCCTGAGCTGGCTGTGGCCGCAGGGAGTAGGGTTGGAGGATCGGGGAACTCCACCCTCTCGGCAGGCAGACCCGCCAGGCCAGGCCAGGAGCGGGCCTCGTGGGTTACCACCGAGCCCCAGCAGGCCCGGCCACCCTCCTCCTCCCAGGGTTCCTTGCCTAAGCCCTGCCCCTGGAGATCAGCTGCAGCAGTGCGCTGTCCTGCGCCTCTCACGCTGTCCAGCCTTACCACAGACAGCTCTGGTCCTCCACACACTTCAGAGTTCTGACCTCGTTGCAAGGATTTCTCATCCCAAGAAGGATCCTGGTAGCGGGAGCTGCTTGTCTTCTGGCTTGAGGCAGAGTCCTGAATCTACTTCCTGCCAGCCGGGAGAGCCTTCCTTCCTCCCTGCCTGGCCCCCATCTCTACTTCTTCCTGGGAAAGGCTTGGCAGGGGATGGTCTCATGCCACTCAGCCTCGCACGTGCTCCGGGCGGGGAACATTTGCACTGTGTATCACCATGTCCTGCTGCCCCATCCTGCTGTCTTTGGGACCAAGGGGTGGAACTGGCTGCCCCGTCAGCCCCCATGCTGCCAGAGCCACACAGAGCCCACTCACTGCGCCTCTGTATTTGTTTGCTCTGGAGCCAAAGCCAGAGAGTTTGCTTTCTTTGAAAGGTGACCTGTGGGCACAGAAAATGCCCCGGCCACTGATTAGGTGGGCTCCCTCCTCCTGCAGACTGGGCTTCGGGGAGGAGTGATGGGGAGGCATCATGACACCCAGGCTCTGCTGATTCAGCCGTGGTGGTCAGTGAGTGACAGTGTGGCTGGGCTGGGACCTCCAGCCCAGTGGTGGGGAGCTGGCAGCTGGGGGCTCACAAGGGGACCCTTGACCCAGGACTCCCACCAGGTGGGCTTTACTGGTACAGGAAAAGTTGGACAGGAAGTGGCTGCAGTGTGACCCCCAGGAAGCCTTTTGGAGGAAAAGCCAAATCACCCAGCCTAGATGACAACCCCTGCTTTAATTCAGGGTGCCGTTTGGTTAGGAAGGCATAGGGAATGTGACTCACTTTGCCAGGGAAGCTGGCTCACCTCCTCCAGGAAGCTCCCAACTTCCTGCTTCAGCTCCTCCAGGCCTCTGGTACATCCTCATCATCCCCGTCACTGCTTTCTGCCCAGCACCACAACAAAGGTGCCCAGCCCGCTTCTGGCGGGAGGCCAGGGTTCTCCATTTCTCAACAGCCTCCCTCAAGTGAGTCAGGGGAGCAGATGTCAGGTTATAGCCTGTGAGAGCTGTCATGCCACAGAGCACCCTGTCCAAGAGAAATAAAATTGAGACATGCGTATCCCTCACAATCTTGTAGTAGCTGCTTAAATACGTAAAGAGAAAGTGATGAAGGTGATTTTAAGGTATTTTTATTTGTAACCAGATGTATCTAAAATATCATTTTGAGACCTGGAGTTCAAGACCAAGAGCATGGGCTGTAGATTTAGCTCAGTGGTGCCGCCGCCTGCCTTGAAAGCGCAAGGTCTCAAATTCGATCCCAGCACGAAAGAAAGAAAGAAGGAAGGAAGGAAGGAAGGAAGGAAGGAAAGAAAGAAAGAAAGAAGGGAGGGAGGGAGGGAGGGAGGGAATTATTATTTCAACATACAATCAGCACAAGCACTCTAGTACTGAGCTATGTCTGTAGCCCCTTTTTACTTTATTGTAAGATAAAGTCTCCCTAGGTTTTAAACTTGTGATCCTCCTGTCTCTGCTTCCCTAGCAGCTAGGACTACACGCATGTTCCTCCACGCCTGGCTAATACAGAAATTCTTAATGAGATATTTTACATCCCTGTCCCCCCATAGTCCAGTGTATATGTTACATGTGTATCACGTCTCAGCTCGGGCTGGTCGCATTGCAAGTGCTCACTCTCATGTGGCCAGTGCTGCAGTACAGACAGTAACTACAGAGCTCTGCTACTCAGGGTATGGTGCACAGACCAGTGACTTTCAACGGCACCCAAGAGCCAGGGAGAAATGCAGGATCTCAACCCCACCCTGGCCCACTCAGCCGGAACCTGCATTTTCACTGTGAAGCCTGCTCCAGTGCTATGGGAGCACCTTGGTGCCAACATTGCAATCTGACTTGTTCCTAGGACCTAGCAGGGGAAGGCGCACATTGCGTTTGAGGAAAGGGATGAAGGCGTGAATGTTCCCTCTCCTGCCCGCTCCTCTTAGTGTATTCCCTGTGTGCTGTTGGTAAGAATCTCAGAATGCGCAGTCTAATGCAGAATTAGAGAACTGGATATGCGGAGCTGGAGGGAAATTCAAGTTTCAGTCACCTACGTCCCTCAAGCTCGGGAGGGATACAGCACTTGGGTCAGGTCCCAAGCTTGTTGGGATGCAGTTGGCCCCGAGTTTCCTGAGGGAGGTGGCTCAGATAAGGGTGGGTTACTCCCTACCTGGGCAGGTTTCTGGGCCACCTTTGTCCTCAGAGAGTCTGTTTCTCTTTCTCAGAGACTGACGGAGCCATGGTTCGGAGGCCCCAGGCCTGGTGACTTGGGGTGGCTATCCAGCTATTTATTCTCAGTGTTCTACAGAAGATTCAAGACATTTAAAAATAGGCATGAAATGTAAAATACAACAAACTTTTCAAGAATTTGTTGGTATTAAGGAAACGTGCAGAGATATGTGGTCAAGGATGCTCACTCCGTGCTCCATCCCAGGCAGCCTAACAATAGGGGAGTGGATAAACTAGCCAAGGCCTGTGGAAACATTGCACTCTGTGTTGGGATTAAGGATACTGATAGGGAAGTATTCTTTGGCGTGGGAAAATGTTCATTAGATGGTGTAAAACCGTTGATGGGTTCGTTTTGTTTACACACATGGGCAAATGCCTAGAAAGAATATGTGGTCCCCCACTTTCACGTCCCATTTTCAGGGGCAGTTGATTCTTTTTCCTTTTTTGATCACGCACTGTTTGTATAATTTCTAGTTTTTCCTTCAGTGAGCATGAATTACTTATGTAATACAGAAATGTACAAAAATAGAGTATAGGGTAGGAAAAAGAGAATATAGAAGTTCTAGTCCCATAGAATTTATTTGAAAATGTATTAATTAAGAAAAAAATCCTAAGTAGTACTTTATGATGTTATGGCCCAACAGCTGTGTTTACCCACAGCAGCGAGTTATTAAATGTTTGAGAGTTGAAGTTACAGCATTAAAAACTCATGAGCCAGCTTCTTCTAACCATCTGTCTGTATTCAGGGAAGTGAAAGTTAATCATGCTGCAGTTCCGTCTTGTTTTGCGTGGAATCCACCAATGCCCCCCACCTTCATAGGTGAGGCTCAGTCGCCCAGATATACTGGGTAATGACTGTGCGAGAGGAACCCTAAAACCATGTGTTGGAGCTAAATGCATGGATGAATAGATGAATGGAAACACACACACCCTGCTAGCGTAGGACCTCTTTCATCACCTCCAGCACTAACACTTTGCTCCCAGATGCCATCAACAGGCTCCTCACTGGCCTCCCTGCATCCATCCTGTGGCCCATGCACTGTACTGTAGCCAGAGGCATCATTTCAAAGCACGAATGGGATCCTGTCTCTCCTGCACAAAGCGTTAGGGCTTCTCCTTCCATCAGAACCACCCTGAGTCCTTTCAGCCTCTGAGCCCCTTTGGCCTGGCCCAGGCAGCCTCTCAGATCTCACTGCCCGTTCACCACCCCTCTGCTCTCCCTCACACCAGGCCAGCTGCACTTCCTCTTCCCCTTTTCTGGAACATTGTCTTTCCAGAGTGGTTTGTGTCCCTGGTTTCTACGGGTTTCTGCTGAATCGCAATCTTCCTTGACACCCTAAAAAGTAACCCCTGTCTTACTCCAATACCTTATCGTACTTCACTTCACTTCATAGCACTTATCCCCCCCCCCAACATACGACACGTGTGCTGCCTGTGTGCCTCTCCACCGGGATTTCAGCTCCCCAAGGACGGAGACTTTGTCTCTTTCACGGCCAGTGCTCTAAGTAGGTGCTCATTGAAAATGTGAAGGATTAGAGAAATACATGGACACCAGATACCCATGTAGGCGATTCTCCTTATTCTCTCAGGGAGGACCTAAGGCCCACCTGCGGCAGGTTCCCTGCCTTGCCCAGCTGGGGGAGCGGGACTGGATCCTGGCCCTAGCCACTCCGCTGCAGCTCCCACCTGTGCTCTGCGAGGACAGTCACACATGCAGAGCCCTGGTCCTGTCTGTCCTGCCTCCTGTGTGTTTTTCCAGTTCACACAGAATTTCAGCCCAGAGTAGCAGAAGAAAAACAGTTATTGCTCGAGAACCCTGAAAGCTCTTCCAGTGGGTCTGTCCCTGGGAAAACAGTAGTGATCCAAGGGTGGAAGTCAGGAAGCGGAAGAGGTCTTCCAGCAGTGGGGGGTACAGGATGGATTTGGCTTTGCAATTAAAATAACAGCTGGTGTGTTTCTGTGGAGCAGGTCTGGGAGGTGGGTGGTCTGTGAAGTTTCAGGTGGGGTCTGCCTCCATCCTAGTCCAGGAGAGTTTAGAAGGGCTGGCGGCTGAAGGATTCAGCCGTAGATGAAGTATGAAAGAAATCGTGCCCAAGAAGCATCTGCAAATGCCAGCCTGGCCTGAAGGCCTTCCAGTCCCTGGCCCAGTCTCCCTTGGGTGCCTCCCAATGCCTTCCCTGCCCTGAGAGGTTCAGACACCCGCTTTGATGCACGGGGAGCCCTGGCCTCCTTCCTCTCATGCCCCATATGCTTGGGTAATCATTTGTGAAATGAGGGATTTCAGGCGTCGCACATGCATGTGACTGCAGCGGGTAATGGAGCAGGTGGGGAATGGATGCCGAAGGCTGTTCTCATCTGAATCCCATCTTTCTGTCTGGCTGGCCCTGCAGATGCAGCTTCTGGATAAGTTCCCCATTGAAGGAGGCCAGAAGGACCCCAAGCAAAGGATCATCCCCTTCCTCCCAGGTAAGCTCAGGTGGAAGGTGACCTCCAGAAGGGTATCCTTAGGCCATCGGAGGCCGGCTGCTAAGCCAAGGGTCTGGCCTAGAGAGCTGCATATTAACCATTCCCCAGGGTCTCTCTGACTTTGAAGGCCACTGTCCTCTGAGCAGCTCCTGCCATCCCAGGACCATCTTTGCTGGCCCCTGGCTTTTAGCCTTGAAGAGTTCCGCTATCTCCATAGGGAATCTCAAATTGAGCACACTCCCTGGGCCGGAGCTTCCGTAGGCCCCACGCCACCATTGCAAGCTTATGTAGCATGCTTGTGAACAAGCAGATACAGGATTTGAGCCCTGCTCTGTCTGGCCATAACACAACACCATTTTGGAACCCGTTTCAAGCAATCAATTATGTTCTATAATTTGGAAGAAAATGTCTTGGGTATGCCATGACCTGCTATTACCATGTCCCAAGTTTGTGCAGAGGTCTGTAGTGTAATTACAGAGTGCTGCTTTATTTATTATGGTGTACAGATCTCCCAAATGAAATGTGTGCTATCATTTCCCCTGAAGACTGGGATTCAGGGAGGGTGAGGAACTGCTCTGAGAAGTGGCAGAGCTGAGGCCGGAATTCAGGGCTCTGGCCCACACCTGGGCTCTGCCACATGGACAAAGCAGTCTCCTGCTATCCTGGTGACCTACCCTGCCCCAACCTAATGGCCTGGCCAGGTCTGAGGGGAGCTCCCTTCACGGTGTGATGCCCCCCGGCCTGGACCCCACAGGCCAACCAGCACATTAGGGGGTCAGCCAGATCCTTAGCCTGAGCCCTCTGCCAGCTGCAGCCAGTACCAACTGGTGGGCCTGAGAGCAGAGCTGGCCCAGAGAGTGGCTCCTCCCTGCAGGGTGCTCCTCCCGCTCTGCTATCCTGGGAGCAGCAGCAGACAAGAGTACGTCCTGCTGCCTGTCTCGGAATTTATGCTAAAGATGGAAAGAGATAGTTGGCAATCAGAAGAGCACCAAACCCCACAGCCAGGGCAAGACCAGAGCCAGTCAGTGAGGGCACAGGAGTCTCAGCCCTGGCCTCCTTCCATGGAGGCAGAGCATGGCTTCTCCGTTCCTGGGCTCCAAATTGCTCTGGCGAGCCTTTGTGCTTTGCTTGGCTTTTCACTGAGTCTTGAGGGAATTTGGAATGTCCAACATCTGGGGCTGTGATAACCCTGGGTGTGAGGCCAGCATGGTGCCCTGTTGTAGGGGTGGACCTGGCCCTGCAGCAAGAGGCCTGCTGTTTGCTAAAGAAGAAGCTGCTGTCTCTGCTTCTTCTGGCCCAGGGCTCCAGGGAAGAGAGAACTCCTGGTCATCATTCAACCAGTGATGTTTGGGAGGGGGTCTGCCTGTGCCCACTGAGGGACATTGTCATCTAAGGAACCCTCAGTGGGGGGGAACAAGACCACTCCACAATCAGAATGGCTTACGGCTGGACGTGTCCCTCTGGACCAAGCAAGTCCAGCCGTGACTGGACCAGGACCCTGGAGAGCAGAGAGCTCATGGTGAGTGAGCCCAGGGAGTTGGCAAAGGCTTCCTGGAAGACGGGGTTCCAGAGTGGACCCCTGAATGATGTGGAGTGGAGGGCTGGCTTCTGTACTGCTGCCACCCTGGTCCCACATCTCAGGAGTCAGACTGCTGGGTTCCCCCCAGAAACCCTGGCTTTGGCAGTTACTAGTTGTATTCTCATCTCTATGCCTTACTTTCCACATCTGGGAATGGAGATGTTGTCAGGGATAAAATGAATCAATGCATCTCAGGTGCTTAGAACTGTGGCTGGGCCCTAGTCCTTGCACATGCTGTTAGGGTTCATATTTAGACATCCTCCCAACACCTCAAGGACTCCTACATGGGGCGTTTGGGTGGGATTGGATCATGAGGGAATAGCACTCAGTGGGTTTAGTCCACTGATGAGTTTGTAGCTAAATGTGATGTTGGGAAGTGAAGCCCAGTTGAGGGGTGGGGTGGGTCACTGGGGGAGTGGCTGGAGGGGTGCCTCTCCCTCCCCCTCTCCCTTGATTTCCTCCGCTTCCTGTCTTCTCTGCCAGGAGCTCTTTCTCCTCTGCCCTGGTACCCTGCCTTGGAGCCAACTGACTATAGACTGAAATCTCTAAACACTCTGAGCCAAATAAACCTCTCCTCCTGAGAGTTGTGGGTGTCGGGTATTCTGTCCTAGCAGTGAGAAAATGTTATGGCTGTGTCTAGATGTCCCCTCAAAGCCTCATGCAGTCATAGGTGGGGCTTTTTCAGAGGTGGCTGGATCTAGAGTATGACTGATTCACAGTGTAGTGCTAGGATTAAGGGTGGGTGATTACTAAATCAGTCCACTGATTGGTTTGGCACTTCCCTGACCCTGTAGCCTGGATACAATACAGGAACAGAAAGAGGCTCATCTTGCCTCTTGCTTGCTTTGCTGTCTTCTGCCGTCCATGAACTGTTTCTCCTCTGTGACGCCTGTCTGCCGTGCCCCCCTGCCTTGGAGGCAGCCAATTATGGACTGAGACCTCTACGAACTGTAAACCAAACAGACCTTCCCCCCTTTGACTTTGGGTGTTGAGTATTTTGTCTCAGCAACAAGAGAAAAGTAACTAAGACAGAAAGTAACCAAGACACAGGGCTAGCATTTTATGCCACACAGTCACAAATACAACTCTCTTTGAGCTGAGTGAGGTCATTGCCCCACGTTAGTGACTAGGAAATTGAGGCTAAGGGATGCCCATAGACCTGCTGGAGGCGACACAGCCCGGAGGTGGAGCCAGCACCAGACTCTTTTCGGTCCTGACTCCTGGGACAGGGCCGCCCACCACATTCGCTGCCCCTCAGCACAAGGCCCCACTGCTGTGGGACTGCGGCCCCGGCTGAAACACAGTTTTCTCCTAGAGGATAAATGCTCCTAGGGCGAGCATGAAAGCAGGCACACGAAGCCCTTGGCACAGCGCTTCTCACAGCCAGTGCTCAACAAGGGCACCTGCTAATACCGAAAGTCACCTGCCCATTTCACTGCTGCCTGCTGGGAAAGGTCAGGCACAGGACTCCTTCCAACCCTACGTGTCATGAGGAATGAGATCCACTCCGGCACTCTCTCCCTTTTCCTGGTGTTGCTTCCCCTCTGCCTCCCTTTGGCAACAGCCACCCTAGCACTGTCTCCTTCGCTTGCTCACTCTCCAGGAACTTGCCGCGGGCACTGCTGGCCTCCGGAACACGCCTGGGGCTCTCCAGCCAAGTCCTAGCTCCTTCTGCTACTGGCAGCTGCCTTGACCCCTTCCTGCTCCACTCACTCTACCACTCCACACCTTGGACAGGAAAAGGCCTGAGGCAAAAGAACCCAACACAACCAGAAGGAGGCTGGGAAGAGCCAAGTGGGCGTGTGGATTCCCACCCCACCCCTGGATCAAAGAGGCCCCAGAGGTTAGGGACCAGAGAAGGCCAGGATGAACTTGGCCACTTTGGCAGAGCCTGAGCCAAGGGAACTTTGGAGGGCACGCGTTCCTGGTGAATTTCCCACAGCAAGGAGGCAGGAAGGGGAGGGTGGGTGGAGAAATAAGGCAGAGATGTGGGGCCACTTAATCTAGACTCGTCCTGATGCCTGAGGGCCCTGGAGGGTGGCTGGAACCGACACGGACCCTTCTGGGGACATCCGTCATTCGTTGTTGGCCCTACAGGGTGCAGAGTGTGGGCAAAGGCAACCCTAGTGGCCGAGGCCATGCATCTGGGAAGGGAGGCAGCTGTGAGCTGTGGGAAGCCAGTAGCCATTGATAATCTCTCAGCACCTGCGGTGTCACCTGAGCCACTGTGTCTACCTCCTTGCTTCTGGGGATGGCTCTGAGGTCACCTGCCGATCCCCTGATGAGCATCAGAGACTCAGCTAAACCCAGAGAATGGAAATACTCCCACCACCCCAGGTGGGTTAGCAGGCAGCCCTGGGGACAGCTGTGCCAGTCTTTTGCCTCAGCTGAAATTTCAGGGCAAGGAAAACCCAAGGGGAGGAAGCAGAGAGCATGCATTATTTCCAGAAAGGTCTCAGTTTTAATTCCGGAGTTGCAGCTCTGTGATGAGCTTTTCTGCTACCTGGGACAGAGCCTGGAGATATTGGTAGCATCAGTTCCACTACTCTTTCTGACCAGCCTGGCTGCAGGCTCACAGCTGGGGCCTCGTAGACACCTGGCTGGTACTGGTGAGAGAGAAAGCAGCAGAACTGAGAGAAGACAGGGAACCTGTGGCTTGCTTACGGACTTTCTCAGCTGCCAGGCAAATTCTGGCAGAAAATCCTACGTAAGAGCCGGGACAGAATGCAGACACAGACTAGATTCTGTCTAGGTCGGGGTGGCCCAAGTTCAGGTCAAGCTTCGGGGTTTAAAAATGAGACATTCCCAGTTTTCGCCTGTGGCCAGAGGTGGGGCTGACCCCAGACAGTGCCCAGTGGCTCTTGGGGAGTAGACAGGGTGTTGTGCATGGCACTGGGGCAGGGGAGGGCTTGAGGCCCAACAGAGTGGTAGAAGGAGAGCCAGTGCAGTTACTGACATTTGCTTGCCAATCAAATCGGGGTTTGCCTGGGCAACAGCCCTTAGCGGCCCTGAGCTGTTTGCACCAGGGCTGGAACCGGCTTTTCAGACCTGGGGTTGAAGACTGCCTGAGTCACCAGCCTCTGTGAGGCCCGTGGAGCCCGCGGGAAGAGTGCAGAGACATTATGTGGGAGACACGACTCCAGGAGGGCACCCCACCCGCCTCCGTCCCTGTGGGCCGAGAGTCACCTCAGGGCCTGGACACCCTGGGAGTGGTGGTAGCCGCAGGAGCAGAGAGGGACTTCCTCCTGGCCCAGCCTCCAAGCCCCACGTTATGCAGGGTGGGGACACGCGGTCTCTAACCTTAGCAGCCTCCCTCTGAGGCAAGGCCCCTGTCTCCCATTTCTGCCATGGGGCCAGACGCACAGCCAGTGCTGTGCTGAGCCGTGTTGATGGGTCGGTGTCACGTGCAGACGCCTGGCTT